AGGAAAGAAAATATCGTAATAATAATTCCAATAAAGAAATAATAATGATAAACGAAAAAGAAAATGAGTGAAATCGAAATTTTATAAACTTTCAAATTCCAAGTGGAAATTCAAGTGACCAGAAAATTGTCGATTCGACTGTGCAAATGATCAACTTTTGAGGTTCGATTACTGATCATTCTTGATGAAGTGATCAAGATGAGAGACTCGAGAAGATTGTGATTGACAGAATGAGAAAAGGAACAATTTTGCCATTCAAAATGTTCTTAGCATTTTGAGTTGTTTTCAGCATTTTGAGCATTTCTTTGAGTAAATTATAGCTTAACATTTGCAAAAGTTTATTCACTGAGAATAAATTGAGAATGGAAAATCTGTTGAATAAAAGAATGCTTATGCTTTACCTGGGAGTTTACAATTATTTAAGTTTTACTTTGTATTCAATTCTGTAAATAGATTGCAACTGAATAATACTTTGAATTTCATCTCTTTTCTTTCTTTTCTTTCTTTTCTTTCTTTTTTTTCTTTACCTTTTTTTCCTCTTTAATTTCAATCCCACAGTTTCTTTTGCTACTTGTTTTGTTTTTCATCAACTTTCATTATCTGGTTTAATGCACACCAAAAGTATGATGAAAATTGGAAATGAAAATACATGGAAATGTCTTGGAATTATTATTATCATTATTATCACTGTTATTATGAGGCTCATTAATGAGATGAATTTCCAATTATGTAACTTTATTTTACCTTTACTTACTTCTTTTACCTGCAACAAAAGTTCTGCTTTTTTTCCATTTCAGATTTCTCTTCTCATTTTCACTCTTATTTTTTACCTTTAATTTATCATGTTATATCTTTAACCGTCTTCATTAAGTAAACACTGAAAGTCTAATTTTCTTGTTCAAATAATTTTCCATCTTCATTTCACGATCAACCCTGAACTTCGCAAAAGTTGCAATATTTTACGAGAAAATGGACCAGCGAATAAAGATTCGAATTTCGATCAAGATAATTTCTTGAGTTATGAAGAAGCTGTCGCATTGAATTTTTGGCTCGAAGTCAAGTTGGTCAGAAGAGTTGGTGTCTGTATGAAGAAGAAGCTTCAACCTGGTATTGGTATGTCTACGGTCCTAAGATTAAAGGTTGAGGTCAGGCCATAAGCTCAATAAATCTTTCTAGCAGAGTAAGAGTTCGAAAGGTCTCATAACGTTGGAAAATCATCTTTTTACAGAAAGAACTTTTGAATCTTTTTAGAAACTCAATTGAAAATTTCCGTTCCTTTCAAGCTGAAGCTGAAGACTGTTTGGTGTTAAAAACTTTGCCTTCTATTGTAGTGGATGTTAGCTTTGATTCAAGAATCTGTTTGGATTTGATTTTTTTGCTTCTAAATCTTGATGCTTCATTTAGACAAGATTGAAACATCACCTGAAACTGTAGCAGTTATGATTAATTTGTTTGATTTAAAGATTGAATAGTTGCTGGAAGAAAGGGAAGGGAAAATTTAAAATTAAAAATTTGATTGTCAACATTTTAAAATGTTTTTCCACTGAATAATGTGAGCCAACATTTTGGCAACTTTATTAACCTAAAAGTAAAATAAAGGTTAACCAAATATTGACATGAGATTACTTGATTTTTTCACCCTCTCTCTCTCTCTTCTTCTCATCTTCATCTTTTTTCTTCCCTTTTTTCATCTTTCCTTCTTCTAATATGTTTTTGATTATCTTGAATGATGAAGCAGGAAAAAAAACCTGCATACTGTTCCTATCCAGACATATTATTAAAAAAAATACTTGCAAGATGTTGTATTAAAAAAGACATCAATAACATTCCACTTATTCTTAATATATCAAAATCGTATGATGATGAGGCTGGTATAAAAAGGCATCTCAAGTAAATAACAAGACATGGACCGAAAAATTAGTTGACAGATTCAGTTGATGAAAAATATTGAAAGAGAGATAAAATTTCAAGATTAAATTCAGTGTTTACTTAGGCATGCATATAAAAACAATATTGATTCCTGTTTTATTTTACCGAGAAAAATGTGAAAATAAATACAAATCTGATAAGTTTCATTTCAATTTGCAAATCAATTTTTTTTCAATTTCGATCAAATTTCGAAGCATTTTACTCATTTTGATTCTGATTTTTTTCTTATTAATTTGATTAGTTCATGAAAAAAGTAGAGGAAGCAATTTTTGTCAGCACAAAATTTTCAATTCAAAAACTAATCATCGAGTTATTTTGCATTATTATTTTGACAACAGATTGTGATAACACTTGAAGTGCTACAATTAATTTGCAAGCAAAAAGCTATTTTCAATCGATAGATGCAGTAATCGATGGAGCAATCGATTTTATCAGCCAACAGATTTTAGTTCGATCTCAAATCAACGTGATTAATCGAAAAGGGAAAAACGAAAAAACACGTTTTGTCACAATCGCGCTTTGAAGTTAAAACGGTTTTTGGTACTTTCTCGAAAATTAGTCATGACAGAAGTTGAAATTTTGTGTGGATCCAGTTCTTGAATAGTTCCATCGATTACGAAAGGAAATCGGTTTTGGATCACGGGATATAGCGATTACAGCAATCGGAACTTTCTTGATAATGACTAGGTTAGGCTCGACCTCGATTGATGCAAAATATTGGTTAAAGTACGCTTTTTATCATATGACCAGTGGTTCACTGGTCTTACAAGTGGCCTTTTTTGTCGAAAAGCTCTCGCTCCTAAATAAATCAACATTTTACATGGAACTTTCAACAAAAGGTTTGAAATCAAATATGTTATTGAAAAAGATTGGATTCGTCCGATGACGGATAAAAATTTTGCATTTAGACCTTCTGCTTTCACTTGAGCTCGCAACATCAACTTTTCCTGTTAATTAAATGAATTAAATCTTTTCCGATAAAATAAGTTACTCATTCAAAAACTCCAAAACTCAAAGATTTTTTTATTCAATAACATATTTGAGTAATAAACCATTTGCTTGCCCGACCTAGCTCAGCATGATTCAACCTAGCCCAGTCTCTGTTAGCTATGCATTTTGATCTTTTTGTGATGCTTTACTACCATTCGAGTTCCAGCCGTTTCATTGCCTCTAACAAGAAAGTAATTTAGACAAAACAAAATGAATTTTTTATTATCATTTGTTTTGCGCTGGACAAAAAACGATAACTTACGATGCTTTTTTGATGGTTATAAATTTTGTCTGAATAGTACAATTTGCTAAAAAAGTTGGTTCAAGATCTCGACCTTTAGATTGGAAACCTTGAAGCAGATGCTCAGAAGCAATTAGTCGAATCGATTGTTAATTATCTCATTCTTCAATCAACCATTGTTTCGATCGAAAATAGATAGATTTCTGAATTTCCCCATCAAATGGATTCAGTTTTTGATAACAAATCAAAAGTTCAAAAGTAATTGTAAACCTTTTTAACAACAGGATAGGAAAGAGAATTTTTTCGAGTTTCAAAACTCAAGTGTCCAATGGAATCAGAATAGCAGAAAGTGTCAACAATTTAACTTTTCAACATTTCCTTCTGTCAACCAGAATTGAGTTCATCATTGAACAAAAAACATTTAAACTGGACACTCAAGTTTCTACCTTTTTATAACCAACATTTTGCTCAAAATCTTAAAAAATGTTTCCAAAAAATAATCTGAATAAATATGCATTTTACAAGAAAAGCATTAAACAAGTACAGTTGTATCCAAAAGCTGAGCAAAGTCAAGCAAAGCGCAAAACACTTGAAATCATCAAAACTCTACCATACTCAACATTATATCAAGCAAAAGAATCGGTTGAAGGATACAAAAAGACAAACTCAAAAACACAATTTCTATCAACTCAAGTGCATATAAGAAGAAAAAAAAAATTTCACCCAATTTTGATGAACTTTTTGAATAAAGTTTATCATGTCTTCAAATTACAACTCACTCATACCAATATCATTGTACAAGGTTTCTCAAGACTCTATCAACATTCACCTCATCATAATCTCAAAATTTTCAAATAACACTTCATTCCAAGGAAATAATGTGTCAAATATTTGAAAAGCAATAATCTTGGAACCAGGCAAAAGGAAAAAAAATGTTTGATTTTTCCAAACTTATTTCTTTTTCATCAAAAAAAATGTTGAACAAATAATCAATTTCATTTTTATTTTGTTTACAGAAATGCAAATGATTATTAAAAATTGCAATTTCGACTCAAGACAAAATTGCAATGCAACTGGAAAAGTCAATCAGAAACGGCCTTCCAATGGACTCGCCCGTCTTCTCATTTTACAGATCCTGTTCAAGTCTTTAACTAATTGCTGGAAAACATAAGAAGGTCTAAACTGTAAACAAGGAAAGGCAATCTTTTTCAACTTTTCATATGTAATGTTGAGGATAAACTTGGATACAATGTATTACTTGTAACTAATATGATGAGACTGTGTAAATTTTCACCATCTTAACGGTATCATGTTGTAGCAATAATCTGCCTTCAGTTTGGGTAAACAATGGTTCATTGAGATGGACACTAAACACACACACAGAGACACAAATTGTGGGTCAAAGTTTTGAGCTGTCAAGACAAAAAGGTTTTATGTTTACTCTGAAAGGTCACAACAGTACAAGAAAGATAAACGGACAAGAAGGTCAAAGAGACAGTAAAATCGGTCATAAACAACGGAACGTTGTAATGGTTATTTTTGGTCAAAAAAAGCACAGAATGTACATAAACTGAAATCTGTTTAAATGTTGTGCCAATTATGACAGACATTTGATTAGAGTGTAAATTGTTTGGACAGTTTACTTTGCTTAACTTATTATTTTTACGACCAGTAACTTTGAGGTTCAACATTTATTCGAGTTTTGTGTTGCCCATTTCTGGATCATTTTTTGTGGATTAATCTAGATTGGCTTTCATTGTGAGTTTTTTTCAAATTGAAAGTTGAACTTGCAAATGGATTTGTTGATCAAACTTTTGCTTGAAAAAAAAGTTCAACTTACTTGATGGTAATTTGAGTCGTTCACTTTGGATTTGCTTATTGTTTGATCCGTAAAGTGAATAGGATCTTTTGTTGACTACTTTAAATCCATTCGGTTGAGATTGTTGGTCAACTTTTAGTCCACTTTCATTGGTAAAATTATCCAATTGTTGGTGATTATAGTTTATTTGATTGGCATAACAGTTTGGTATTAAAAGTATCCAACTTGTAATTAATAGATTCATCTTATTTACACTGATTGTTGGTTAAAAGTCAACCAACAGTTTTTTTTGTTTTCAATCACAACAAAAAGTTGTCAAAAAAAGTGAGGAAAAGATGAATACAAAATGAAGACACGAAACGGAAAACAAATGCACACAAATTAATTAAAACTAATCAGTTTATTCATGAGTAAACTGGCCATTACGACATTTAATCCCTAACAGTGTTACTCGATGAAACAGTTTGCTTAAACTGACTAACTTCACTATTCAACATCAACTTTATCATCAGCTCTATACAACTGTAACTTTTGTTTTCAACGCAACTCGACTACACATTTACTGCCATCTACCGAAGGAAAGTTTACCAGGAAACTTGAGACAGGATGGACTGAATGATGTGATGATGATGCGATGTGCTGACGTAAAAAAATTTCAGAAAAAATTAAAAACTTTATTTTGACGATTTAATTTTTCTGAGAATGGCTAAACTCGGTAAACAATCTTCGCTTTACTAAGCGTCGACAATTAAAAATTCAGATACTCATCTAAGACTATGGACAATATCACCAACAAATTGATCAAGATTATCAACAATTTTGTCTTTTATTGCTGATTGTATTCCTACACTTTTGATTTCTTCGATTTTGTTCATTTCAATTTACAGCTCTATTAGGAACAAGTTTGGTTCGCCGTCCGGTTCCTGTTCAACTTGCTTCCACTTTTTATAAAAACTGTCTCGATGCAGGTAAGGCGCTTTAGTTGGTTATTTTTTACAAATCGATTCTTAATCTTCCGTGTTTTTTATCACTTTATATCAGCGCCTTATTATGCAGCTAAATGGCTTGATGAGGAGTTACAAGATATTGGAGGATGGCCTTTAATTTCGAACAACCAGGAGGAAACAACTACAGTAAATGTTGAGAATGGAGATTCGGAAAGTTCAGACTCTGAAGATTTAGTCAAGGCCTCTGTTAACTGGACTGATAGCTATGTTAAGGCTAGAACTGAATGGAATGGCAACTGGATCATTGGCATGTCAGTAATAATCAATCCGAAATATAGAACTAAATATATTTTAAAGGTTTGTTATATTTTCATAGTTGAAGTACAGACACAGAATTAACACTTATTTTTAATTTTCTTTTGTGTCAACTAGATTGATCTGCCTGAATACTCAAGCATTTGGGACACATTGAAAGAGAGCGATAATACTACTGATATCATCAATACTAAAGTTGAGGATTACAAAGCATCAATAAGAGGTTGGGTTGAAAAAATGGGCCGAAAACGTGGTCAGCTAAATAACCAATTAATTGATGAGGTTGTTGCGTTTGAAAAAGAACTTGCTAAAGCCTATTCAGCAGCATTGATGGATAAATCTGAAGATAAATATATGAGTCTTGGTGAGCTCATTGAAACTAGTCCTGAACGAAAGGTAAACTTTAAAATTTTAAGACAACTCAAATCAATTTACTTATCATTATCAAATTTCTTCATTTTAGATTCCATGGGAATTCGTGTTAAGAGAAATTTTTGGAACCGTTAATATTACTTTATCCAAGACTGAACCCATCTTATTATCTCACCAATCGTATTATAAGAGACTTGATGAAATATTATCGACTACCTCAAACAAGTAAGTTACTATTGAAACAAGTTTCCAGGTAACAATTAGATGTTAACATTATTTTACTATTTTTGCAGAGTAATTACTACGTATATTGGTTGGAAATTTGTTTCCCAATATGGAGGACACTTAAATGATTTGCCTGTTGATGAAGTGAATCGTGAAAAATATTGCTTACAAGCAACATTTAAATATTACAGTCATGCATTAAAGCGACTTTATGTTGAAAAATATTTTGACTCGACTTCGCGAAATAGAGTGGCTACAATTGTGAAGACAATTAAAACCTACTTAATCAATAACTTGCAAACTATCTCAATGGCCGATAAAGATCGTGAGATGAAAAATCGTATTAAGAGAAAGGTTCGATCAAATTGTCTCAATTATGGTAAAAATATCCATTTTCTAATATCTGCTTCTCTCTGCATCTGTAGCTTGAAAAAATTGAAGGCTTGGTAGGTTATGATGATTGGATCGCCAAAAAGGATAAAGTCGAAGAATATTATTCAGACATTCCCGATTATTCTGATCGTAAATATCTTGGAAGTATAATAGATGTAATTACAGGACAAACTTATAAAGAATTAAGACGATTGAGACAGAAATTTACCAAACCAATACCAAACCCGTAAGTTCATTACAATCATCAATTTGTATGTTCATTGACAATGAGCAACACATTTTGATTCCCTCAACAAAACAGCAATCATGATGGTTTAATTCATTTTTTTCGGTTTAGCGATGTTCCTGGTATACTTTCTGTTGATAGCTTCTTTGACCAAGAAAACTTGAAATTAGGTAAGTCGAATGATTTTTTCTTGTTTAATTTCACTTTTTAATTGTCAATTGTTGTTTATGTTTTTCAATTTATAGTCTATATATATATTATATTGAGTAACAATTACAATTGTTAATAGTCTAGTTATACGGACACAAGGAGGAGAGTTAATTTAACACACAAACTCTCAGCTCGAAAATGTACAGAAAGAGTAAAAGCTTGATTCAAGATGCAAAATAAATCAAAGAAAAAAGTATCAAATTGAATTGAAAAATTTCAATCAACATCAAAAGCAGTTCTTTCATTGCCTAAACTTTGCAACATTTTTTACCTTCCATTGAAATGTACGTGTAATTGAAATTTTGTCAAATGTTGTTTGCAGAAAAATGAACCAGTTTTAGGTTATTTATTGGAAACAATTTGCCCTTTCATTTTCATGCAAATTTCAATCTCTTTTAAGTCATTCATTCTCTTTCTTTCTTGTGGTTTACTTGAATTTTTCACCCTTTTTTGTGTTACTTGACGAACCAAAGACTCTTCTTCAACATTTAACCTTTTATATTGTTTGCCCTTTTCAACTTAATGATAATATCATCAAGTGAAAGATTGAGAAAGTACAAAATTGATGTAATGCAAAAGGAAAGGCCAGGAAGAAAGTATCGAAAGATTGAAAAATCAAGATTAAATTGTTTTTCAAGAATCACTTTCTTATCATCATGTTCATCATCATGAAATGGTCCAATCTTTTGATTCGCTTTTTTCTCTCTCTCTTTGCTTCTCTCTTGCGATTCGCCTTGATTGTGAAGTTAATTCAGAGGAAAATTGTTACCTCCTTAGCTTTCAATTTAGATGAGAATTGAAACTTGCCCTGAGTCTGTTTCAAACATTTTATTTCTTTCCTCATTTTCTTCTTCATCTTCATCTTTTTCATCTTTTCTTCTTGTTACCTTTTTTATTTATCTGTGTTCACCAAATTGCATCAAATGAAATGGAAAATAGATTTCAATTGAATTTATTTTCAAATTGAACCGAGAATGTTAAAGAAAGAGCAAAAATAATTCTCCAATTTTGCTCGAGCATCATGAAAAATTGTCATGAATTTTTAGCATTCATTTCGTAAGCATTTTTCGTGAACTTTTTTTCTTTTATTTTTTTCGCAAACATTGTGCATCTGTTTGAATCAATTACATAGGGAAACTATTATTATTATGAGAGATAAAGGTTTCAGTTTTATTCAAATCAAGAAATACTTTTTCATTTTCAGCAAATATTTGAGCATTAAACAAGTCAACACATTTAAACAATCAAGTGCATGGTTGATACTTGTTGGTGCTACAGTCCATAGACTTGAACCATAAATACGAACACACGAAGTCATTCATTTGTTTGATTTTTTGATCGGTATTAGTAAATAACATGTAACAAACATAAACAATCTGAAAAAGGTTTTACTTTCAGAAAATGACCTTCAAATGTGATTTAGAGGTCAAATAATGGAGTGACCTCGTGTGTTCGTACTTATGGTTCTTCAATCCGCGCAAGCTTATGGTTCAAGTCAAGTGATTTTGCAACCTGCGGAAGCTCATCGGTTGAATCTTGAGTCTGTAGTATCATTCGTAAGCTATGACCACAGACAGATAGAAAAACAAAAAAACGCCAAATATAATTTCAATAGATTTACCCTCTTTTGCTCAGAAAATATTTCAGACTCATAAATTAGCAACGCAACAGACTCAAAGTCCAATTTTTCTTCATTTTGGTGGATGATAAATGAATGCATGCTAAGATAAATAATTGAATGAAAAGAGGTAAAACACAGAGGTAATTTCATGTTTTAGAGTCTTTTTATCAATTTGAAACAAAGTGAATCACGTTGAAGGTGAGCAGCACTAAAATGATCAAAATTTTGCTAAACTGTAGCTACTTGTGATGATAATGTTAATGATGATGGTTACTTTTAACCATCAACCATTGTTATGATGAACATGATCATCACCATAATCATGATAATAACCACCAACTATTATTATTTTACTCAGGCAAAAAAGTCACAGCATCTCTTGAGCATTTTTGTCTCCTTATGCATTTTCCTTTTGTTTCGACTTTTTGCTTCTCCCAAACCTTTTCCTTGGCTTTTCTTATTTACAGAATTTTGTCAAATTACGTGAGTTTAATATTGAAGCTTTAATTTGTTCATTTGCCAATTTTTACTTACCAGGTTAAGATGAACCAAGTTCCAGTTGATTACAGTTTGTAAACACTTTTACAACAAAGATCATTAAATGTGTTTACTTTGGGCTACTTTTGAGTCATGATGATATTAACCAGAAAACAAAATGCCAAGAAATGATCAAGAATCAAATTGAAACTGCCAAGAGAGCGATTAAAGGTTAGACAAGAAAATGTTGAGCAAAGGTTTGAAATGATATTTTATTTGTTTAGTAATCAAAGATTAAGTCAACATTCATCTCATTGCAATTGACAAAGGCAAAACACATTTTCTGGTTTCAACGAAATTCTTTTTCAAGAAATTCCATATTCAATCTTGATTGAGCTTAACATTTATCATTTTACATTTGAATACCAAATATTTGACCGCAACCAATTTGACCTGAAATTACCCAAAATTCAAACTTATTCTCGACTGTAAAGGACGATAAATTGATTCAAAAAAGCAGTTAATGCTCAATTCCCTTCATCCTTTATGCTTTCATCCAAATGATTGTTTCTCTTATTCTATCTTTTCTTCTGTATTGTGGTCTGTAAGATCGGTAATCAACATAAATATTGTTCAGCATGAAATTGGCTTCATTTCAGCTCCACCATGTTGTATGAACAATAAGAATCGGTAAAAGAACTTGAATTCTTATTGAAAGTTGTCTCTACTGGTAAATGTCAAGGGCTTCTGCATAAACCTCAAGACTAATTGTTATACTTAAATGGTCAATGAAAGCTATAAAGGATTGTTTCAATCGCAATGCATTTAAAAGATTTGTTTCCTTCATTCACTTTGACTGAATCAAATGTTGACTAAAGTTGCATCTTAGAGCTTGTCAACTCAACCTCATGGTTAAACCATATTGGTAATGGTTTACTGATCAATATCGACTCTTTATCCAGTTCAAATTGTGATAATCAAATGACTTTTTCCCCTCATTTCCAGACACTATCTCTTGATTATTTTTAGCAATTTCAATGTTCATCTCAACCAACCGGCCAGTTCAATGACAAACTTTCTTTACTTTGTTCCCAGTCGATAAACTATGGGATGAAGCCAATTTCATGTTGACTAATATTTTATGCAGTTTACTCCCAGTAAATTTATCGATAAAATATTGGATTGAAAGAAGTTAAATTAAGATAAATTTAGTTTTTGGACAAGAAACATTCAACCGAGAATGAAAAGAGTTTCATAATTAACTGTAAGCCTGAATCCATCCCGCGATCAAAACAAGAACAAAGTTTCTGGTAAATTGGTACGAGTCATTTTAATTGTAAGCAGATAAACATGACACGGGTTGACATGTCAATAGAAGTGGACCCTATCATCATGACTGATTGCTAAATTATTTTTTCTTGAAAAATCCACATTTAAAAGACTTAAATTATTAACGAAAAATCAACCTTCAGTATAAGAAAAACTGAAAGAGAAAATGAAATCTGGTTTTAATTTCTACTTGCTGCCCCCTAAAAACCGTTATCTTTGTGTTACTGGTTTGATTATTTTCTATTATTCATTTTCTCTAAATAAATAACATCAGTTCAAATAAGACTGAAGGTGAATCAATGGTCGTTGTATAATTGGATCCATATTACGCGCAAGTTCATTACAACAAAAAAGCAATTGCTTATGATAAATGAGTTGGCTGGTTGGATGTAAAATGCAAAGTATTTGTCATAATTAGTAGTAAGTAAGGGCTACAGCCCGAAAAAGGCGGCCCTTAGCCGCGCATGTCAAATAGAGCGGGGTAAAAAAAGTGGGTACAAAATCGAGGGTACATGTTCATGTAAGGATATGAAAATGTCTCGCCAATTTGGTCCGGTAAGTAAAGACCCTTCTTTAAAAATCTACAGTACCCTAGAAACAGTCATCAAAGAATTGTGTGCACGCAAAGGTGAGAAACTTTGTGTATTAATTTCAAGTTACAATGGGTTGGAAGATTCATCTGCCCATTGTAGACTTTTACGCCTCTACAAGGAAAAGGACTATAAAATGATCATATTTTACCTCTCACTGCTTCCTAGGCTGCCCTGGTTCGATAGAAAAGATATTCGCCAAGAAGCCAAAAATTAGGATTGGGGGGATTGCATGTGGCCGGCAAAACCTTGGTTCGAAAACCTGTGTGAGAAACTGTCTACGAAAGGCAGTCGAGCTAACAGGTAAGTATAAAGAACCAACCATTGTGAAATCATATGATTTTGTATTAAAAAAGTTTATTTAATTTTATTAATAAAGTCTTATTTCTCTACGCAAGATGGCGCTGCAGTTTCATTTTACCCCCATTTCTTCCCTCTCTTTTCTTTCGAAACATGTGTTGCTAAGGACCGCCTTTTTCGGGCTGTAGCCCTTACTTACTACTATAATTTAATATCCAAATCTGTTACAGGTACAATCAATTTTTTTTATGTCATCTTAAGTGCGTGAAGCTTTATTCCCCAATCGACATTACATCATTTTTTGTTGGCATTAAGTGTCTCAAGACTGGTGAAAGTTTTTTAAAAAAAATTTGACAATGAAAATATTTGGCACAACAAGACTCAAGAATTTGATTAGAAGTAATCAACATTATTTTTTTGGCTTCTTGACCTATGTAAAGATCATTGTTAAGTCTGCAATTTGATAATTGTAATTAGGACCAGAGTTGACTAATGTAGTATTTTTTTCAGCGAGTATATCTAAATGAACCAGTTCCATATTAGTGATGTTGATCTGTAAAAAATATTTCACTAGTCGACATACTTCTTCACATTGAGCTGCATAGGATAGGCCCCTGATTTCTGGATTGGAAAAATTTGACGATGAAGACGTTGAGTGCAGGGATTCTGGTGTAGAAAGAAAACCATAATTGTGAGTGCATCGGTTCTTAAGTTTACGCTTATGAAAAGAATGCAGTGTCAAGAACCTGAAAGTATCATGTTGAGAAGTAAAAGATAATTGTTAAAAGATGTTGAGTAGTCGATGATGGTGTGAAGATTAGAAACAAACTAATGTTTGAGAAATTGACC